TGATTCTTATTTTAATCCCAACACCAACATCCATACCCACACCCTTTTCACAAAATGAATCTACATATAAGAGCAACTTTATTTTTCGCATGAAAAATGAATTGAAATAAAATTTTCTTCTTATCTTCAATATCTAAAAGGTATTCATGTTCATCGTAAGTCAAGGAAAGTTCTCATTGTATATCTAAACATTTTTTTACATAAGAGTCTTTGTAAATAAAAAGATATAACAAAAAAAAAGCTTGTTAGCGCAGCTCCTGCGGAGCTGAAATGTGGAACTCACGTATACCTTTAGCTTTGTTACCTGACGCATCATCTGTATACTGAAAGACTTCTCGTCAACTGTAGTTGTTTTCCTTGAGAATTCATGAAAAAAGTGGGAATTTATTATTTATTTGTATATTAAAAATGTACATTAAAAAAGAAAATATTGTTTTTTCATTTAAGCGCGCTCGATTTCATTTATAATTATTGCTATATACTCGATAATAATCTTTTTTTTTGTTTTCTAATTTGAAGTTATTTTTCTCCACCATCGAGTATTTGATGAATATGGTTGTTGCAGTCTATTTTGAGGGGGGGGGGGGGTAGTGTTGTGTAGATCTTTTTTGGTTGCTATGGTCTGTAAGGGGGGGAGGAGCCGCAAAACCTCGAACTTAAAACTTACACTCACTATTTTCTTCGAAAATATACGTGAGTTCCACAAAAATGGAAAAACAATATCATAATTGAAATCAAAAAAAGAAGACTACAAAAGAGCTAACGTGAACTAATAATTGAAAAGTGAAGATAATTATTGATAACAAAAATGTTAAAGGTTTTTAATCTACGTGTACCCACTCTTTATTGTCAGGTTCTTCTTCATTTTCTTGAACACGTAATTTTTTCATTGAACGTATAACACGATCACTTGCAAGCTGTGTTGGTGCTGGACCCAAATCAAAATTATCGAAATCTGATCGAAACCAATCTAGCATTTCTGTTTTAAATACAAGTTGTGGTGGTGGTTGCGATGGTGCTGTTGTTATTTGTTGACTTTCAATTGAGTTTGTTGCTATATCAGTTGTTTCTGGTGGTACTGGTAATCTATCCTCTTGATCATGATCAAAACCATCATAATGTTGTGCATGAATTTTATAATGATTTTTCATACGATATGCTGATGGAATATATTGATTACATATTCTACATGTACGTTTTTTTAATTCTTTTTTAACTGATGAACAACAGTAATCAAATGGTAACAATTCATTCTAAAAAGAAAAAATCTTCTATTTTTCTCAAATAAACAGTAAGTATGAGTCATATGACGTGATAAATGAGTGTTTTTTATTATTAGCTGTTTATTGAAGGAATTGATCAGTGTGGCACTTAAGATAATTTTCTAGTACTGTCTATAAATTTGAAGCATTTCGTTATGATCTCTTTCTTGTCTTGAACAATCTAGTCGATTATATTCTCATTATTAACTACTGAATCAAATAGTAATATTTATTTTTAGATTTGAAATGATCAAACTTTGTTTCAACCTGTGTATGTTGAATAACAACACCATGAAATTGAATTCGTTGAAATAATGATCCATAAAATTGTCCTCTTTGATAATCTCTTTCGGTCATTCTAACACCATATGGTGTACGTTCAAATAGTACAGTTGATGGTAAAAATCGATGAGGAAATATTTCAAGATAATTTGAACGCCATGGTCCACAACATTCAACTGAATTACAACGAATTATTTGTAATGTATATTGTGTTTGTAAAACATGTGTAGCACACCAATATTCATCAATATCATATTTTGGTTGTTCTCCAGTCTTTTCTCTTGATGCACGAGCATTTTCTTGATAATATTCTTCCGATTGTCGAATACGAAATTCATATTCTTCTTCTGCTTCTTCTTCAGCACAAATTCTATTTAATAGAATATAATACAAAAATAAACTGAACTAAATGGAAAGACGATAAAAATTTACTGTCGTAAAAGTTCGTCCATAACAATTTTAACATCGATTTGTCGACATTCATCATCTGTTGTAGCTGGTGGATTAATATATTCAGCAACACATGGATATCCATCAATAACTGATTTATTCCATCTTTCAGCTAAGATTTGTCCAGCTTTAAGAAAATTTAATTTTTCTAATTCAAGATTTATTGCTACACCTGATTCATTTAAATGTGTACCAAAATAATCATGTGGTAATATCAAACCAGCTAAAGCATGAGATAATGGTGCCATACGACGTTCAACTATATTATAAGCTGATTGACCAGGCCTTTAAAAAAACCAAAAACAAAAGTATTCGAATTTTTTTTTTGTTAATATTAAACTTACGCATGTGTAAGAATAAAAAGTGCATCTAAATTATATTTTTTAAATTTTCTAATATCTGAAACAAGTGTTTTTGGAAAACGTGGATTTTCATCAGGACCACCATCAACAGTAACAATAAGAATTGGTTTAACTTGTCCAGTTTCATCACGTGCTACTTCTTCAAATTCTTTTAAACAAATAAGACGATCAAAATCTAGTGCAGGAGAATCAGCAGTTGAAAATTCATGTTTAGCTGAACGTATTCCAATATATGTTGGACCTGAATAACCTAAATCTCCATCTTCGGATAGAATACATGCTGCATATACACTTGGTGTTAATTGATGTCGAGGTGCAACTGTCCAATCATGATCAGATAAACGTACACGATAATCCAAATGCATTAACATTGGTGCTTGAACTTTTGCTGCAGGTAAACCTAACGGAACTTTACATTTATCATCTTGAGATAATTAAAAAACATAATCATTGCCAAATACAGAAGCTAAATATTTCATATAACGTATTGTTGCCGTAGCAAAATGACCATCTTCATGTTTTCCATGGTCATCATTTTGAGGACGACGAAGACGAACTGCAACAGTATTAACGTGACGACGAGGGTGTGGGTGTGGGTGTGGGTGGGGTGTGGGTGTGAGTGTGGGTGTGGGTGTGGGTGTGGGTGTGCGGGTGTGTGGGTGTGGATGGTGTGAGAGTGGGGGTGTGGGTGAGTTTGGGACTGAAGGGAGGAATAACATCAGACCCACGCCCACATCCACATTCATACCCACACCCACACCCACACCCACACCCAGACACCCACACCCACACACCCACATCCACACCCCCACACCCACACCCACACCC